TACAGGACCTTGAATTTCAACAACAACCCACTCCTCGTGGGAGGACTCGAGAATGCGGACCCGGTGCTCGAGAGACCGGGCCAAGTCCACTCGGACGACTTCGTAGGATGCGTCCACTCTGTCTCCATAAACGGGAGAGCCCTCAATCTGTCGAATCCACTTGCCTCGCGAGGTGTCAAGTCTACGTGCATCAGATCGAAGAAGAATCCTTGCCTCAGAGAAGGAAAAGACTCCACTTCGGTTTGCGGAGGCGTCAACACCAAGTGTTACGACAAATGGCACCAAATCACCTGCCAGTGTGGCTCGTTAACCGCTCCTAATTGCGAGGGAGCACTGGAACCTCTTACTCTGAGCGAGGGTGGATACGTCGAATTCAAAGTACGTGAAAGATCGCGGATATTTCAACCCTTAAGTCGATAATCACAATTTTCGTCCACTTTTTCTGACAATCCGACGGGATATTGAAATCTTCTACCGGGAAGATCGAATACTTTTTATCGACGCAAGGGTTAATTGAAAATTCGTTTTACCAGAGTAAACTGAAACGAATGATGTGCTTTTTATTCATAGATCTCGGAGAAACATAGAAGAATGCAGTTACTGGAGTATCTCTACGGAGGATCGACGGTGTGGTACAAGAACAGAGCGAAGAGGACAGTCAACGAGGACAGTAGCTTCATGAGCAACTCGTCTCCGTTTAAAACTGTCGGGCTGATGTTCAGAACGGTGAAACCTGACGGAATTCTCATCTACGCTGCCACCAACAAACACTTCACATCGGTAGAGGTAAGAGAAGCAACGAAAGAGTAACAGAGATCCTTCGCAATCGATACACATAGTCGAATAATTCGTACAATTCCAGCTACGCAACGGACAACTGTTCTACGCGTCTCTCCTCGGTTCACCCGTGAACATGTCAGCGAACATCGAAGGAAGCCTGGCGGACGGTCACTGGCACAACTTGACCCTTCACTCCTACTTCCGAGGGCTAAGACTTTTCATCGACGGCGTTCAAACCGGCGAAGAATTGGATTCCGCCGGTGTCCACGACTTCCTCGACCCTTACTTGTCGGTCCTATCGATCGGTGGAGTCAGCCAAGACCTCTACTACGCTCACAGCGCTGGCGCCAGGAGCTTCGAGGGTTGTTTGGCCAATTTCACCATCAACAACGAGATCCAGCCTTTCAACGGGTCCGGCTCGATCTTCAAAGAGGTGTTGTACCATGGAAAAGTGAACACCGGTTGCAGAGGACTGATAGGAATCAGCGCAGCCGCGACAGCTGATCCTCTCAGCATTGGAATCACCCTGGTCATAGTCTTCTTCGTGATTCTACTCATAGCTATCCTGGTTAGCTTCATCGTTTTCCGTCTGAGACGACAGAACAAGGAGAAATCAGCACCGTCGGTGGTGAACAAGAACACCAACGCTATAATGACAGGAAATCCTCTGGTCGGCAGCGGAAACGACAGTTTAATGTCCAGACACGAGAACACCTACATCTCCGACACGTCTGATTTACGCGGAGTAGGTCACATGGGACCGGAATTGATCTCGAAGAAGTACAAAGAAAGAGAGATCAACGCAACAACCGAACACAGACCGCAGAGGCCTGATATCATCGAGAGAGAAGTGACGAAATCTCCGCCTATCAGAGACGAACATCCTCCTCTACCACCGCCTGCCCAATCGTCTCTCCACTCCCACGAGCACAATCCAGAACCTGATATGCCGGAGCATTATGATTTAGAGAACGCGAGTTCCATAGCCCCGAGTGACATCGACATCGTCTACCATTACAAGGGCTACCGCGACGGAATGAGGAAGTACAAGGCCACTCCTCCGCCGATCAACAATTACGCCAATCACCATAAACACACCGGACAACAGCACAGACACACCGGACCGTTTCCACCTAGAGCTCTGCCTCCGCCAAACGTCAGTCAACCACCTGGACCGACTCAGAAACTGCTACAAAGCACTCCTTTGGCTAGACTATCTCCTAGCAGCGAATTATCCGCTCAACAGCCTAGAATACTAACTCTCCACGACATCAGCGGCAAACCTCTGCAAAGTGCTCTCCTAGCCACCACGTCTTCCTCCGGTGGAGTCGGAAAAGACGCTCTCAACTCCAACAGCGAGAGAAGCCTCAATTCCCCGATAATGAGCCAATTATCGGGGTCAACGGCTAGTCGAAAGGCGCCTCAATCGAACAACGAGAACTCCGTGAACAACGTGTCATCCGTCCCAATGGGGCTAACAGCGGAAGAGATCGAAAGATTGAACTCCAGGCCGAGAACCTCGAGTCTCGTGTCCACTCTAGACGCGGTTAGTTCCTCGAGCGAAGCTAGAGGACCTCCGACACACGGTCCTCTTCATCTCCACCGAAGGCACACTCCACCGGTGGAGAGACTGGAAAGAAGGAACTCTTCGACGACCGACGAGAGCGGAAACGACAGTTTCACCTGTTCGGAGTACGACAACACGTCTCTGGTAGGCGACAAGAGGTCGGACAATCCGTTCGCCAAGCAAGACGACGAAGAGGTGAATCAAAGGAGCAACGAGTCCTCGCAAACGACGAAACCTCCTCTGCCGCCCAACGTGAACTACGACGGATTCGACAGTTCTTTTCGCGGGTCTCTCAGTACTTTGGTAGCCTCCGACGACGAACTGTCCACGCATATGGGAGGATTGTACAGACCGACGAACAGCGGATCACCGTCGACCACCACCACAGCGTTGAGCTGGGATTATCTGTTGAACTGGGGACTGAATTTCGATAGTTTGGTAGGAGTGTTCATCGACATCGCGGAGCTACCAGACAGTGCCAATTGTGTTCCAAGTACGCTTAGACTGCCAGCTAGTATACCCAAGCCATCCGAGGAGTACGTCTGAGGAAGTGTTCGTATCGTCAGACGACAATTTTAAATGAACTTCGAGAAGATGCTCAACGAAAGTGTGCGCATGGATGACCAAAAAGAAGCGAGAGAGAAACGACTAGCGTTCTGATACGAGCGGAATACGCTTTAATCGCCAATTTTAAGTGGGCCATAATGAAAAATTGAACAAGGTGAAACAGGTAGAAACGGACAGTTTTTTAGATCGATAAGGGAAGTATCGTTACATTTCTCCTGGCTCAAGATTGGTGCTGAAGGATTAAGTAACCATTTTCTTGCCATATATAATAGAATCTTCGCGACGTTTCTTCGTCCTTTTTCGTCCACTTCGAGGAACCTTTCTCCTCGAAAGGTGAAAATTGTGAATTTTGTAAATAGTATATGTCTAAGTGGAGAAACGCGACTCTTTTCACGAGTACAAGATTCGCAGCGAAGAAGGCACTTTTTCGTCGAATTTATAGAGAGAGGTCGCGAGTTAAGCGTCGTTCCGCAATTAGCCGCGAATTCGACGGAATTCGCCGTTGATTGGAACGATCATTGCGCGGCTGTATCGCTTAGAATTATAAATAACTATCGAGAATTTAAACGTTTTCACTGTATATACCGAAGTATTTTAAACGCTCTGTGCCAGATAATCACGATACAGTCGCGCGATAGAAATCGAACCGCGACGATTTCGAATCCACGTGGTTTTCTCTTCCTCCACGCTTTTCGCGTTCCTCGTGGTAGCCGTGTCGCGACGACTACGATGATTTGCTCGGTTTCCACGTTCTCTCGCGATAAAGTATCCACGATTTTTGCTGGATCTTTGCAACGAGAAACGTTTTAGCAGAGCGTAACCGCCAGACTGATTTAATCTTCCACGTTATCGAAGCGTTATCGTAGGATTTACTCGTTAAATATTGTACCGTCGATCGTGAGAATTCATTGTAAATTAAACTACGAACTTTGTGTAACCCGCCGTTGTAAATAACCGTACGCCTGATCTGTACAAAATGTGTGAATGAAACGCGTGTCTACTATCTTTATCATCGATCGTAATTTGTAATAAACAAGACATTTGTAAAAAAAATAAGGGAGATCGATTAATTACCTCTTCTCCAATTATCTCCTTCTATTTTCCTCGCTCGTTCAAAATGTTTCTTCGAAATTTCATCGACTATTAGCTACCTCGTCTCTTATAATTTCCTTCTATTTTTCTTGCTTGTTAAAAATATTTCTTCGAAATTTCATCGACTATTAACACTAGGTTTCCGGACATTTCTTATATATTGGGTTGGCAACTAAGTTCCCGCCGTTTTTTTAAATTCTAACATTCCGCATGTCGTTAAATGTTTTTGGCAAAATATTTCAAATCATTCGAAAGAGTTAATTCTTCTTTGTTCGAGTTAATTTCTGTTAATTTTCAGATCATTAAAATGAAATGTCAAGTTGAGAAAAATGAGCATTTCCGACACCTCCTTCTTTTTGCTTTCAATCAAGGTTCTAAGGCCGCAAATGTGTATGGAGAGGGTGCCATAGCTGGAAGAACCGTTCGTGATTGGTACGCCAAATTCAGAAATGGAAATTTCGACAACCAACGGAGATTGTGGCTCGTTGATTTTTGTTGTTGTCACTTAAAGCATGCGGAACCCATGCTCCACACTTCGGAACCTTTCCCATCGAGTGAAGATGCTTCTCTATAGCAGTGTGGGAGCATTCCATTTTCTCTGCCAGTTCCCTTGTCGTTTCACGCGAATTTTCGTGCAAAAGTTGGTTTAATCGCTCTTCATCGAACACAACTGGACGGCCAGAACGAGGTGCGTCTTTGAGGTAAAAATTTCCATTTTTGACGCGTGAACAAGACCGCAGATTTCCTTTAACAACCAATTTACTTCATTTAAAAACAACATATTCTACACTATTAACTTACAAATGAAACTATGCGATATTACATATCTATATAGAATTGATAATAAGCATAAATGGTAGAAGAGAGATGTAAACGGTTTCTGTAATTTTCCTTGTGAAATTCGAAATGGGTTAATTGCCTCTTTCCTTATAATTTCCTCCTATTTTTCTCGCTTGTTGAAAATATCTCTTGGAAATTTCATGGATTAAATGACGCAGTTAGTAGGAAACACGTGAAGATAACTGAACGAAGATTTCACGTGTGAATATGTTTCGATTATTTTTTCCCAATCGATTCGATATTCGTCTCGAGAGGACATTAAATGACCATTCTCGCGTATCTACCGATGCAGAAACGTAAAAAAAAAGGAAATAATAGACGTAGGACGTAGTATAATTTGTTTAATTGCTTACTAAAATACGCTAGATCAGTTAGAATGTTCAGATAATGATATCATCATTCCCGTCATACGACGAAGAGCTTCTGAACAGCGCTTATGCGAACATTAGTCTAATCGCCGACAAAGCTTGGTGCTTCGACAAGGAAGATCCCTTTCAAAAGTTCAATCGATCGTTGTGGATTCAAGTAAATATCATCGACAAACTAAATCTACCTCTAACGATCGCTCTACGCTACTAAAATTCTCGTTAAAATTTATTCAAAATATCCATAATTTGCCTTTCCGCAATACAGAACTGTAAGCTAATAGCAAAGTACAAAGAAAATGGTACGTATCGAAGGAAACGCGTCCGCGACGTTATTCCTCGTTCACATTTGGCTACTTATGGCAATTACGAGTACAACGAAGAACTGGAGGGTATGTACAATCCAGACGACAACACCGGTCCTCGTTCTTTGCCCAATTTCTGCTGGACAGAAGTCACCGAGCCGTGGATGCTACCGGAGGTCGAGAAACACTTCGCCTGGTTAACTTCCAGCGGTTCACGATCGAGTCGTGAATTGTTAGCATCTCGATACTCGATAATCATTCTAACATGTATACACTCTTTTGGATAATTTTCTTGGTTAATATTTCGGTGAAAAATTGACGTTGCAAAGCTCAGCAACGAGAATACCGCAAGCTGACGATGCATCGAAGGTCGGATACGGCTTCAAGACACACTGGGAGGATCATTTCCAAAGTCAACGCGTGCAGAGGTTGAGCCCAACGGGGAAGAGGATCAGAATGAATTACGAATCGAATAAAGAAGGAAATTTCGTTGGTAATACTCTTAAAATCAACTTGTTTCTTTGTTAAATTCCAAAGAAAGAGAGAATATTCGTGTTTTCTACCGGAAACTGTAGGGTAAAGTAGCCTAATACGAGACCCCAGCATATCTCCGTTACAGAACTCTCGAACGTCGTAGCGATGCTGTTTTGTTTCGTAATTAACCGCGTTAATTATCATGTTAAATACGAAATTTGACAGGCATACTTGTGCAATACGTTGCAGAAAGTTTTTCAAGTAGTTCGATTAAATTACAAATACCTCGAAAATAGTAAGTTTATAATCATTTTCATGCAATGGAGCTTCGTTAAATAACGAAGACTTAATCTCGAAGCTGCTTAATAGCTATCGTGTTATTGTTACCGAATATGAGAAGTTCCTATTGTAAGAGGAGTCTCATATTAGGTAGCCAATTTTGTTTTAGCGTACAAAGTGTTACCGGTCAGCCCGCGAAGTCTGCGGTGCTGAAGAAACAGATTTAATATGCCCAATGTGTGAAAAAAGACAGAAAAAATAGCCATTTTTTAAATCTGCGTATTTGCATAATTTTCGTTTTTATTTTATTACGAAGGAACCGAATTTTCTTTACTGTATCGAATTTTAATAAAACTGTTCTTAGTCGACAGTTATGACTTGTTTAAGAAATGGATCTCATATTAGGCAACTTTACCCTATTTAACCCTTTCGCTACGGCAGATTTCAACGCGTAACCTGAACGACTGATGGTAAATCATTAATCACAGCTGCAAAATTTCTCATTTTGGCCATATTTTTTTCAAATTTGTTTCGTTAAATTAAGGTAGAAATACTTACAAGGTTGAAGTATTTCTATTGCGTATATTTTCCAAGTATTGGATGACTGCAAAAGTTCGTGCCCGATTTGAAAATAAAACACCAGAGGTGTGTGCAAAGGTACATTTTAAATGAAAATAAAACGAAATGAAGCGAATAATTCTCCGAAAATAAAATACAAGCGGTGTGTCTTTCGATAGGAATACGCTAAAAGAAACATCTGTGCCGAAGTCAATAAGGTTCTCGCCACCTCTGAAAATCGGGCACGAACTTTTGCAATCATCCAATACTTGAGATTTGGTCTAAGAATTGAGGATTAAACTAGGCGAGAAATGCGTAAAGGATAAAATTAAGGTAAAAAATATTAGGCTGGAAGTGCACCAAAAGGCTCGCAAAGGAAACTTTGAAAACGTCTATAAGCGCCAGCAGCAATGAAAGGGTTAGAATCAACTATTCTTCGACCTTTTCTCGTTAGACTAGAGAAACAGAAGATTCGTATTTCTAATTTTTCTCGACTAAAACGACATATTTCAAGAGTCAGATCCTGCGGAAAAGTCGGCTAACTATTACGAGCATCGACGTTACACCATCGAGAACTCGATGGAGATGCAGTTGCACATTCGAGTGACCAGCGAGGCGGTTCGAAACTTATGGAAAATCGGGACGAACGTTCAGCAACAGTACGCCCAACAGAGAATGCGGCTGCAGTGTTATCAGATACAACAACCGAGGGAGCAGAGTTGTCAGAGCAAGGAACGACAGCAACAATTTTACTACACTTTTCAATATCGACCGCTGATACTTCGAACGGAGTATCAAACCGCGAGAACGAAGACTTACGCGACGAGCAAACATTTGCCGCCAGTTCTTAGCCCGGAAGTGCCTGAATTCTTCCCAAAAGTGCCGATGACGCGATTCGGTACCGTTAAAGAACAGAATACTAATCGCGTGCAGTATTTTCCATCGCTGAACGAGAGAAGCTACCAGAACGAACTGTTTCCTTACAATAGAGCTCACGATACCGCGGGAACTATATACCAGGTACGAGGAAACGTTCTTTTTTCAAGTTATCTACCGAGTTATTTGG